TGCAACGAATGCCTCGTTTGTAATGGGTTTTAATGTTTATGTCTCGTCGCTCCGGCATCAATAGTATGGTGAGGGGCGTAACATTTCCGTCTCCCGCTTGAGGTATTCGGCCAATCACAACACATTGGATAGCGGGCCAATCACAGCACACCTCGCTTTTTCAGACCGATGAGTTTTGTAAAAATCGACGCGTTTCAGAAAGGCGGGGCATAGAGGAGAAACAATAATGTACAGTATGTGGAAAATAATGTGTTTTTTTAACTTTAAACCGCATAAACATATTTCATTACACCAAATACACAAAATAATGTTCTTTTTAGCAGCATCATATGACCCCTTTAAAATCTGTCTGTTTATAGGAAGTCGAACAAGGATGTTGATGATCCAGGAACATTGTCGTACTTGGCAAAATCACAGAATGCTATTAATAAGCCACAGATTTACAATATGTTTACAATATGAGACTATCATTGGTCAAACAAATCACAAAGCTGAAAACTGATTAATGCACATGTAGAAATGTTCGTAATACAGTATTTCCAGGTCAATTAATAACCTTAAGAGTTTGTATGCAGTTAGAGGTGTTATATTGGTAGTCAAAGAAATTTAGTGTGCATGTATAAAAATTATGAATTCTTCTCATGACAGTTGCTAAATGACACAAAAATGACCACAGTGTTTAATCAGCACCAGTGTCACCCATTGTCAACTAAAATTGCAGTTTATGAGTTTCACATGAAATATAAATTTCTTCATCCCTAATCAGACAGGATCTCCACACACAGATCAGCATATAATTATATTCCATTAAGGATCGAAGCTTTTCTGAAGGCAACAGGGATTCAATTCCCTATTTAATACTTTTATCTTACCATTTACTTTCTATCCACTTAAGATATTCCAACTCTTCCCTCTTTTTTGTGTCTTATTGCTTCTTTCACTCACACCTTCTGCAGGCTCTCTCTAGTCTACAGGCTGGTGCTGACCACGGTTATCCGTGGCCGACAGTCCTGGACATGATGGTTTATTACTGAGCTTTTCATTAAAGAGCTGTAAACGTTCTGCTTTTTCCCTCTATTGCACATAATATCACATCCTGGTTGACTTTTCTCTGTATTTTTTGTACTGTACTCCCCATTGACCTCAGTGTGAGACGGTCCAGATTTGTTTACTGGTCGTGTTTCGTCTCCACTGGTTTGATTCTTCTGATTCTCTTCAACATCTGCTGATGAACTAAACTGGATTTCC